AAACTAACTTAAATCTCCCCAAAAAAAGGGCCCAAATCCCCCCCCGAGCCCCCCTGAGCGCTTTCTGAGGCCTCTCAGCGCCCCTAAACCCCCTCAGACCTCCCCGAGAAAAGCCCCAAATCCCCCCCAGCCCCTCCCCGGAGGTGTCGGACCCCTCTCTCACCGCTCCGTGCTCCAGACCAGCAGCGGGAGCTGCGCGGCCCCCGCGGGCCCCGGGCCCGCAGCGAGCCCGGCCAGGGCCGCGAGGAGCGCCCACAGCGCCGCCGCCATCTTGGAGCGTCCCCTCACAGCGGCGGGCACGCCCCTCACGGCAGAGGCCACGCCCCTTCTGCGGCGAACACGCCCCCTCGGGGCTGAGGCCACGCCCCTTCCGCGGCGAACACGCCCCCTCATGGCAGAGGCCACGCCCTCTCTGCGGTGATCGCGCCCCCTCAGCGCGCGAGGCCACGCCCCCTCTGCTGGTTTCGCAGCCTCTCCTGGGCAAGGCCACGCCCCCTCCGCAGAGACCACGCCCCCTCAGCGCGCGCCGTCACGTGGAGGAGGCGCGGTCACGTGCAGGAGGGACGCGGGATGTGTTATGCGTCAGGCCACGCCCCCTCGGTGTGGCCACGCCCCTTAGGGCCACGCCCCCCTCCGTCCCCTCAGGGATCCCCAAATTCCGCCGGGCCCAAAATCCCCTCAGAGACCCCTAAAAATCACCCGGAGAGCCCCAAAATCCCCTCAGAGACCCCTAAAAATCACCCGGAGAGCCCCAAAATCCCCTCAGAGACCCCTAAAAATCACCCGGAGAGCCCCAAAATCCCCTCAGAGACCCCTAAAAATCACCCGGAGAGCCCCAAAATCCACTCAGGAACCCCTGAAATCCCCTCAGGGACCCCCAAAATCCCCTCGGGGTCCCTAAAAATCACCAGGAGAACCCCAAAATCCCCTCAGGGACCCCCAAAAATCACCAGGAGAGCCCCAAAATCCCCTCAGAGATCCCTAAAAATCCCCTCGGGGTCCCTAAAAATCACCAAAAGAGCCCCAAAATCCCTTCAGGGAGCCTCAAAATCCCCTCAGGGAGGCAAAATTCTTTCAGAGACCCCAAAAATCCACCGGGCCCCAAAATCCCCTCCGAGACCCCAAACCCAAGAAAAGATAAATCTCATTTTTTATTCCGCGTTTCCTCCCCAATTTTCCCATTTCCCTTTTTTTCCCATTTCCCTCCATTCTCCCTGATTTTTCCTCAATTTCCCCATTTTTACTTAATTTTTTCTTACTTTTCTCCATTTTTCCTTTATTTTTCCTCATCTTTTCCTCAATTTTTATCCTATTTCCCCCCTTATTTTTACTGTAATTTTGTCTTATTTTCCCCCTATTTTCCCCTATTTCTCCCCCTATTCCCTCCTCCATTTTTTCCCATTTTTCCTTTATTTCTCTATTTTTCCCCATTTGTTCTCTATTTTCCCCATTTTCCTCCTACTTCACCCATTTTATCCTATTTTTCTCCTAATTTTCCCCTATTTTCCCCCATTTTTCCTTTATTGTTCTCCTATTTCCCCCAATTTTTTCTCTATTTTTCTCATGTTTTCCCCCTTATTTTTCCTGTATTTTCCTCATATTTTTCTCCTATTTTCCCTCTCTTTTTCTCCTATTTCCCCTCTATTTTTCCTCTATTTTCCCCTATTTTCTCCTATTTTTCTTCTATTTTTCTCCTACTTTCCTCCCTATTTTTCCCATTTTTTCTTTATTTTTCTCCTTTTTTCCCTCCTATTTTTCCTGTATTTTTGTCCTATTATTTTCCCCTATTTTTTCCTGTTTCTCCCCATTTTCCTCTTATTTCCCCCATTTTATCCTACTTTTATCCTATTTTCCCCCTATTTTCCCCCTATTTTTATCCTATTTTTATCCTACTTTCCCCCTATTTTCCCCCTACTTTTATCCTATTTTCCCCCTATTTTCTCCCTATTTTTCTCCTTTTTTCCCCTATTTTTATCCTATTTTTCCCCTGTTTTCCCCATATTTTTTCTCCTCCTTTCCCCCCATTTTTCCTCTATTCCCCCCCCCCCCCATTTTTTCCCAATTTTCCCCAATTTTTGCCCATTTTCCCCCCATTTCCTTTGGGATTTCCCAATTCCCAGAAATCCCCCAAATCCCAGAAATCCCTGATTTTCCTGGAATTCCCTCCCCGGTCAGGAACTGCAGCTTCCGGCTCCTTTTGCCCCAAAAATTCCAATTTTGGGGTCTTTTTATTGAGGATCTTTGGTGAAATCAAAGTGCAAAACCAGCAGAGGCTGGGGCCGGACTGGGAGCACTGGGAGGGACTGGGGTGAACTGGGAGGGAACTCAGAGGGAACTGGGAGCACTGGGAGGGACTGGGAGGGAACTGGGAGGGACTGGGAGGGAACTGGGAGTGAACTGGGACCAGACTGAGAACACTGGGAGTGAACTGGGACTGGACTGGGAGCACAGGAAGGGCACTGGGGCCATACTGGGAGCACTGGTCGCCGTTCCCAGTTCCATACTGGGAGCACTGGTCTCTCAGGGCTCCCTGTTCCCATTCCCAGTCCCATACTGGGAGCACTGGGAGCACTGGTCGCTGTTCCCAGTTCCATACTGGGAGCACTGGTCTCTCAGGGCTCCCCAGTCCCGTTCCCAGTTCCATACTGGGAGCACTGGTCTCTCAGGGCTCCCCAGTCCCGTTCCCAGTTCCATACTGGGAGCACTGGTCGCCGTCCCCGTCACCGTCCCTGACGAGCAGCACCGGCCCCAGGCCCTCGGTCAGCACCTCCAGGAACTCCAGGTCTGGGGGGGTCAAGGGCTCACCAGTACAAACCAGTACAAACCAGTACAAACCAGTACAAACCAGTACAAACCAGTGCCCTCCCAGTAACCCCCAGTGCCCTCCCAGTAACTCCCAGTAACCCCCAGTGCCCTCCCAGCTCCTCCAGGAACTCCAGTCTGAGGGGGTCAAGGGCTCACCAGTACAAACCAGTACAAACCAGTACAAACCAGTACAAACCAGTTCCTCCCAGTTTCCCCATTCCCATTTTCCCACCCTTTTCCTTCTCCCTCATTCCTGGTTTTCCCATTTTTCCTCATTTTTTCCTCCAATTTGTCCCCATTTTTCCCTCCCATTTTTCCCCTATTTTCCCTGGGTTTTCCCCATTTTTACCCAAAATCCCCGTTTTTCGCCCCATTTTGGACACAGCTCTCCAGGGCCGGGTTTCCCATCCCCATTTCCCCCGTTTTTCCCAAAATCCCCGTTTTTCGCCCCGTTTTGGATACAGTTCTCCAGGGCCGGGTTTCCCATCCCTATTTCCCCCATTTTTTCCCCCGTTTTTCCCAAAATCCCCGTTTTTCGCCCCGTTTTGGATACAGTTCTCCAGGGGCCGGGGCGGCCGGGGCGGGGGAGGGGGCGGCAGGTCCAGCAGCACCAGCCCCGCCCCCCCCGAGTGCTCCAGGATGGCGGCGTTGAGGCGCTCGGCCGCGTGCATGCGACGGACGTTACCCCTGACCAGCCCGTTTTTCCCAAAATCCCCGTTTTTCGGTACGAACCAGTACGGACCAGTATAAACCAGTACAGACCGGTATGGACTGGTACAGACCGGTACAGACCAGTACAGACCCCTCTGGCCACCCCCCCTCAATGGCCACGTGCATGCCACACACATTCCCCCTGCCCAGTATGAACCAGTACGGACCGGTATGAACTGGTATAAACTGATACAAACCAGTCTAAACCAGTATGGGCCAGTGCAGAGCAGTCGCCACCCCCTCAGCCCCTCCCCCAGTGTCCCAGTGCATGCACCGCACAGTCCCCCTGCCCAGTACAAACCAGTATGAACCAGTACTGACCAGTATGAGCCAGTACAAACTGGTACACACCAGTACAGACCAGTACAAACCAGTCACCAGGAGTGTCCCCCTCCAGCCTCCCAGTACAGCCCAGAGCCCCAAACCCGCCCTGCCCAGTACAAACCAGTATGAACCAGTACTGACCAGTATAAACCAGTACAGACCGGTACAAACCAGTCACCCCCAGTGTCCCCCTCCAGCCTCCCAGTACGGCCCAGTGCCCTCCCAGCTTGATCCCAGTCTGATCCCAGTTTGATCCCAGTCTGATCCCAGTGTGATCCCAGTCTGATCCCAGTCTGATCCCAGTTTGATCCCAGTTTGATCCCAGTCTGATCCCAGTCCCCCCCAGTGCTCCCAGTTTGATCCCAGTCCCTCCCAGTCTGATCCCAGTGTGATCCCAGTCTGATCCCAGTCCCTCCCAGAGTCCCTCCCAGTCCCTCCCAGTCCATCCCAGTTTGATCCCAGTCCATCCCAGTTTGATCCCAGTCTGATCCCAGTCCCCCCAGTCCCCCCAGTCCCCCCAGTGCTCCCAGTTGCACTCACGGGCTGGGCTCTCTCCGCGGTTCCCCTCCCCCTCCCTCCTCCTCCTCGGCGCTGGGTGGCTGCGAGGGGGCGGGGCCTCCCTGTGACGTCACAAGGGGAGGAATGACGTCACAGGGACAGCGGTTACGTCACGGGTGGGGCAGTGACATCACGGGGGTGGGGATGACATCACAGACAGGACTATGACATCACAAATGGGGTGATGACATCACAGACGTGGGTCATTGACAGGGCGATGATGTCACAGACTGTGTGATGATGTCATGGCTGGGGAGATGATGTCACAGACAGGGTGATGATGTCATGGAGATGGTGATGATGTCACAGACAAGGTGATGACATCACGGGCGGGGCAATGACGTCACCTGGGCGCGGCGCAGCAGCCGCAGCATCTGCGAGCGCTGCTCCATCATCAGCGTCCGCTCGTACGTGTAATCAGAGACCGCGCCGTCGTGCTGCGACACAGGCCACCAGTACAAACCGGTACGGACCAGTACAGACCAGTACAAACCAGTACAAACCGGTACGGACCAGTATAAACCAGTATAAACCAGTATAAACTGGTACGGACCAGTACGGACCAGTACAGACTAGTATTAACCAGTATAGACCAGTATAAGCCGGCACGGACCAGTATGGACCGGTCTGTACCGGTCCAGGAGCAGTACAGACCAGTAGGGACCAGCATGAACCAGTACAGACCAGTACGGACCAGTACGGACCAGTATGGACCAGTATGTGCTGGTACAAACCAATATAAACCAGTATAAACCAGTACAGACTGGTACAGACCAGTACGGACCGGTATGAACTGGTATGAACCACAATGCACCGGTTTGTCCCAGGTGTAATTTTGGGGTATTTCTTGGGTGCCCCAGCTGTGCCCCAGGTGTTTTTGGGGTAATTTTTGGCTATCTCAGGTGAGTTTTTGGGGTGTCTCAGGGGTATTTTTAGGCTTCTTTTGGGGTTCCCAGGTGTGTCCCAGGTGTGTTTTGGGGTGTTTTTGGCTCTCACCAGCTCCACCACGTGCACCTGCGCGGGCAGGGCTGGGTCTGGGGTATTTTTGGGGTTCCCAGGGGTGTTTGGGGGGTGTTTTTGGGTGCTTTGGGTTTTTTGGGGGTGCTCTCACCAGCTCCACCACGTGCACCTGCGCGGGCAGGGCTGGGTCTGGGGTATTTTTGGGGTTCCCAGGTGTGTTTTTGGGGTGTTTTTGGGTGTTTTTGGCTCTCACCAGCTCCACCACGTGCACCTGCGCGGGCAGGGCTGGGTCTGGGGTATTTTTGGGGTTCCCAGGTGTGTTTTTGGGGTGTTTTTGGGGTGTTTTTGGGGTGTTTTTGGGTGTTTTTGGCTCTCACCAGCTCCACCACGTGCACCTGCGCGGGCAGGGCTGGGTCTGGGGTATTTTGGGGTACCCAGGTGTGTTTTGGGGTTCCCAGGTGTGTCCCAGGTGTGTTTTGGGGGTGTTTTTGGGGTGTTTTTGGCTCTCACCAGCTCCACCACGTGCACCTGCGCGGGCAGGGCTGGGTCTGGGGTGTTTTTGTGGTTCCCAGGTGTGTTTTGGGGTTCCCAGGTGTGTCCCAGGGGTGTTTTTGGGGTGTTTTTGGCTCTCCCCAGCTCCACAACGTGCACCTGCATGGGCAGGGCTGGGTCTGGGGTATTTTTGGGGTTCCCAGGGGTGTTTTTGGGGTGTTTTTGGGTGTTTTTGGCTCTCACCAGCTCCACCACGTGCACCTGCGCGGGCAGCCCCCGGCGCCGCACCACGGCCTCGAGCAGGCGCCGCAGCCGCTCGCTGTTGTCCTCCAGCAGCGCCACCGTGAACAGGCGCAGGGGACAGCCCCGCCACACCTGAGACGGGCAGGGGGCAGCTGAGACCCCTCCCCAAACCCCCCAAAAATCCCCCCTAAATCCCCCTAAAATCCCCCCAAAAATCCCTCCAAAAATCCCCCCCAAAATTCCCCTAAAATCCCTCCAAAAATCCGCCTAAAATCCCTCCAAAACCTCCCTAAAATCCCCTCAAAGCCCCCCAAAATCCCAGTGAACAGGCGCAGGAGACAGCCCCACCACACCTGAGACAGGCATGGGGACAGCTGAGACCCCTCTCCAAAACCCCCCAAAAATCCCCCTAAAATCCCTCCAAAAACCCACCTAAAATCCCTCCAAAAATCCCCCCAAATCCCCCTAAAATCCCCTCAAAGTCCCCCATGAACAGGCGCAGGGGACAGCCCCGCCACACCTGAGACAGGCACGGGGACAGCTGAGACCCCTCCCCAAAAAGCTCCCCAAAATCCCCCCAAAATCCCTCCAAATCCCCCTAAAATCCCCTCAAAATCCCCAGGGAACAGGCGCAGGTGACAGCCCCGCCACACCTGGCACAGGTACGGGGACAGGTGATCTTCAAAATCCACAAAATTCCCCCAAAAATCCCCCCAAATCCCCCTAAAAACCCCAAAAACCCCGGGAACAGGCACAGGTGACAGCCCCGCAACACCTGGCACAGGGACAGTGGCAGCTGAGACCCCAAATTCCCCCCAAAATCCCCAAATTTCCCAAAACCTGCCCAGGCCACACCTGCGGGGTCACCGGGGTCACCGGGCGGGTCACCAAGGGTCACACCCACCACCTCCCCCAAGCCCCGCCCCCTCCTGGCCTGGGGTCACGGGGGTCACAGGGCTCAGACCCAGCGCCTTCCCCACCAAAGCCCCGCCCCCACCATTCAATCCCCGCCCACACACCTCAAGCTCCGCCCCACAATTCAAGCCCCGCCCCACAATTTGAGCCCCGCCCCAAAATCCAATCCCACCTCCTGCCTCTCCAAGAGTCCCCGCCAGGACAGCCTGTTCCACTGCGTCGTGGGAAGCGGAGAGTTCACCCTGCGCGTCTGCTACGGGGAGAAGCAGGATAGGAATGGCAGCGCAGGGTGGTGCGGGCTGCCCGCGAGTGCGCCCCGTCAGGAAGAGGGGACTCGGGTGGGCAGGGAGACGAGAGAGAGCCCAGCTCCTGCCCAGCGAGCTGCACAGGGCTGGGGCCCGGTGGGGAAGGCCGGCCTGGCCCTGCCTGCGGCTCCCTGCCCGGCAGCGCCAGGAATTACGAGCAGCGACGGCCGGGCTCTCTCCCCCGCGCCCGCCGCCTGTCAGCGCCGCCGCCGCACATCTCTTAGCCATAACTCAGCCCCTCGCCTCCACCATACGGGCCGCTGCCCTTCCCCACAGTCCAAGCCCTCCTGCACTATTCAAGCCCCGCCCCACACCCCAAGCTCCGCCCCACACCCCAGGCCCCGCCCCTGGCGCAAGCCCCGCCCCCTGGCGCCCCCTACCGGGTGCTGTCGCAGCAGCAGCGGCAGCAGCGTCAGGAGCCGCCCGGTGCCCACCACCCACCAGACATCCAGGGACCCCCTCGGGGACCCCCCCGGGGACAGCTCCGGGCCCGGGGACACCCCCGGGGACGCCCCGGGACACGGGGACAGCCCCGGGGACACGCCGGGACACGGGGACAGCCCCGGGGACAGCCCCGGCTCCGCCGTGCCCTTGGACACCAGCAGCGCCCGGCCCGCGGCGCCCGCCACCCGCAGCAGCTCTGGGGACACACGGGGGACACCGAGGGGACACCGAGGGGACATCAGTGAGGACACGCCCAGGTGTCACCGTGGGACCCCCAGTGATCCCCGAGTGCCACCAGCCCCTCCCGCTTCATTGTCCCCGTGTCCCTCCCCGTGTCTCCCCAATGCCCCTCCCGTGTCCCATCCCCCGTGTCCCTCCCATGTCCCTTGTGGGCCCCTCCACCCCTCCAATGATCCCCCCAATGTCCCCTCCGGACCCCCATGTTCCCCCTTCCTCCCCATTCCCTTGTGTCCCCCAATACCCCCCAATGTCCCCAATACCCCCCAATGTCCCCAG